CCCCCAAAAAAATAACCTTTGCTGACACTTTATTTGTTCCCAAGGGTCTATTGAGAATAGAGAGATTCTCAGGGACAGTTCAGGGAAAGGAGCAAAAGCGGGTCTTCCCAGCTTCTTCTGGAGCAGAAGAAACAGCCCTGATCTGTTCTATAACTCACCCTCTCTTGGCCAAGAAGGACCCAGCAGTGATGGGCTGCTTCTGGCTGTTGAAATGTTGCTTCTCTTCAAAGTAACCTTACCTAGCGCTGTGCAAAGGCAGTTCCACAATGCTGAGCGTCATCGAGCAGCATAAATAGCAAGCACGAGTGAATGTGAAGATTGGGAGGGCACAGATTTCAAACATACTTGGCTCTCCCCGTCTCTTTTCCGCACACCCATTCCAAATGCCTTATGCTTTTGGGTCCCAGGCTGCTTCTTTCGTCTGCAAAGTCCTTTTAGTCATATTCCAGCCAAGTCTGCTGGTTTTTTCTCCCCCTTTATTTTGTTTTATTGCCCAAGAAGAAACCTCATCAGCTGGATTTCACTGAAGTCAGGTTTGAATCTAGATTTTATATGTTTACTTTATTTGCTGTTTTCTCCCCTTATTTTTGATAACTCCTTAGAACGTGGATGGTTTACCTGACTGTCTGCCTGAGATGAAAGATAGATTCCTTTCTGAGCAGCTTGAAAAATGTGTGATGTGCTTGGGTTAATGCAAAATGTGAAGCTAAGCTCTGTCTAGTGTCTGCCGGGGTGTTTCTTTAGATCGCTCTGGGCATGCTGGAAATTTGATTTGACAAACTGATTCCGTTGTAAAATCAGTTCGGCACAGCGGAGTCACTCTGCTCTCTTGGGGGGGAAGGTGAATTGTCACTTGGGTCTTTTTAATCTCTCTCCGAACTGAGCAAAGACCAAGTGGTATGGTAGAGATAGAATAGTTTTGGCAGAAAACCAGTCCTATAATACTTAGCAGCTTGAGGTCAAAGGACTCATAAACTTAAATACATTTAACATGTGGGGTGGGGGTGAGGTTGTGATTGCTGCTATTGTTTGAAGGGCAAATAGAGCAGAACGTACTGGAGGCTGAGAAGTGTTGGGCCTGAAAAGAGTTAATTATTTCTTCCATAACTTAGCCTGAGCAAAATCTCCCCTCTGAAATTAGTATTGCTTTGGGAATAAATCCTCCAGTATTGCCACATCACCACCCCCCTTTATTTATTTATTTTTTTAATATTACTCAGTTGTCTGATAAAGATTACCATGCCTTCCTTGTGTGTGTGAGTGTGTGTGTGTGTGTAAGTCAGCATTTGCAAGGCGGCTTTTATTGGGCATTTATTAAAGTCCTTGCAAATTTGCATGGGAGTCATACAGCAGATAAATGAATCCTGTGAGGTGGCTTAGACTGAGCAAGATTAACAGCTGATGAGTTTCGCAACTCAATTGGACCCTTGCAGCTGAAGCTTTCAGGTCTCAAGGTTGACAAATTATTCAAATGAACTCCAGGCAGATTATCATAATTGGATGGAATTGACTATCACAAAATGTGCTGATAACCTCTAGGTCAATTGGCTTTGAAAGGCCAGACAAATTTATGGAAGGAAACTTCTAAGGGCTGAGAGAGAGCAAACTGCAATTGTACCCCCAATGCTACTGCAGCAGCGCTAGGTGGAATATGGATTTTAAACATGGTAACTACTGAGTTTGATACATTTTGAATTGCTTTAAAAATAACAATAGATAGCACCAGGCATGTCATATCTCAAACCATGCAGATATTATGAATTACTGGTATTTATAATGTGCTGTCAATGTACATAGTGTTTTATAAGAAGCAGTTATGACAAGCCCCATTACCCAAGAAGCTTAGACTCTAAAATCAAAGGAAATGGAGGGAAGAGGGACACTGAGGTATGCATAAGCAGAGGAATAATCTTTCCATTACACATATTTTGACATAGCTACAGACTAGAATATAGGACAATTTAAAGAGTTCCCTGAAAAGGTGTATTTTGAAAAGGGGCTTAAAAGGAAATAAGAGAGGACGGAATCCTGGAGGGCAATCAACATATCAAGCATTAAAAGGAAAGGTGAGGAGTCAAGGAACAGGAAATGTTTAGATGGCTGAAAGAGGTAAGAACAAGGCCATGGGAGATTTTGAAGCTTTTGCAGGATCCAAAAGAGAAAGCAAAAGGAAGTTTATAAGGAAGAAGTTGCATGGTCAGATCAGAATGATGTGGATAATTCTAGCAGCGTAATGCCAGAAGTGAGATCAGGGAAAACTAGAATAGTACCATATATAGTTATAGCTTTAGCTACAAAGAAATCGTATTCACAGTTAATTCACTATTGAACTGAGTAATGTTGACAAAAGGCCATTTAGGTTTCTTTTGGTAAAATATAATGATGGCTGTAAAGTGTCTAGATGCATTATTAGACTTCATTCCAGCTACATAGATGTGGAACAGTGGTTCCACTGGGCAAATACTTTAGAACAACTAGATAGCAAAGCTGTCCTTTGTCTTATTACAGATAGTTGGATAGCTAGATCTGGACTAACACTAAGTTAAAATGAAGTAAAGTTGAAGCAGCCAAACACCCTATTCCCCTCCCCAAAAAAGTCACCCATCTAGCAGTTCCCCTGTCAACTACTGAGAAACAAGGAAGATACAGCATTATGGTATTCTGACTCACATTGTTTTTTCTGCCCTTTCTCTAGAATAAATACAAGCTGAAGATCACAGGTGTTTCTGACGTTTCAGCAGGAATTAATCTCAGCTAAGCAGTACTTTCTTCCACTCCCTCTTCTCTTTGAAGAATCGGATACTGCCTGCTGCTGAATGTCCAAGGCATGTAAGCTAGATCTTTTAAGAGAATGGATGGCACTATCTCCTCCACCATCAGAGTGGCCACCGACACAGAGAGCGGCAGCCCACTCAGAAGCAACCCCCATATTTCTTCCAACAACACATGGGGCGAGGCCTTCACTGCCAGCTCTTTAGAGGACATTGTAGCCACCTGCACCATTGGGACCATCCTCTCTCTTATGTGCATAATTGGGGTGACAGGCAATGTCTACACCTTGGTGGTGATGTGCCACTACTTGAGGTACTCTGCCTCCATGTACATCTACATCATCAACTTGGCCCTGGCAGACCTGCTCTACCTTCTCACCATCCCTTTCATTGTGGGCACTTACTTCATCCAGGAATGGTACTTTGGAGATACAGGCTGCCGGATCCTTTTCAGCTTGGATTTCCTCACCATGCACGCTAGCATTTTCACCTTGATGGTGATGAGCACAGAGAGATACTTGGCAGTGCTGAAGCCTTTGGACACCGTGAAGCGGTCCAAGAGTTATCGGAAAGCAATTGCCCTCATTATCTGGGTTGCCTCTCTGCTTCTCACCCTGCCCATGCTGATCATGATCCAGCTGGTGCAAGGGGAAAAGAATATCTGCCTCCCCACCTGGAGCAAACTGTCCTACAAGATCTACATCACCGTGCTCTTCTGCACCAGCATTGTTGGCCCTGGTGTCGTCATTGGCTATCTCTACGTTAGGCTGGCAAGAACCTACTGGGTATCCCAGACAACCTCCTTGAAAGAGACCAAACGGCTCCCCAACCAAAAAGTGCTCTACTTGATCTTCACCATTGTGCTGGTCTTCTGGGCCTGTTTCTTGCCTTTCTGGATCTGGCAGCTGCTCTTCCAGTACTATGAGCCTCTTCCCGTGTCTCCAAAGGCCACAAGGAACATCAACTACCTGACCACCTGCCTGACCTATAGCAACAGTTGCATCAACCCTTTCCTCTACACCTTGCTGACCAAGAACTACAAAGAATATCTGAGGAACAGGCAGCGCTCCTTTCACAGCAGCGGCAGCGGCCGCCGCCGCTTCCCTAGAAG